TGCAGTTCGAAAACACTTTTCAACAATCAAATTGAAACTATCAAATCTTTTATGTCTTGGAATGGTTATCCTAATGGCGTTAGAAACTTTTTGATTAAAAAGCTTAAAACCAAATTTATTGATAGTTCTACTTTCGATGCCGTTAATCATGACACGGATGATGATATGTTGCCTAAAATTTGGATTCGTATTCCTTATCTCGGAAACCGTGGCGATTTTCTTTTAAAATCATGTCTTAATAAAATACAAAGATTTCTTTCTAAACCGGTTAAGTTCATCACTATTTATGACACTAAAAAACTCTCTTATTTTGTTTCCAACAAAGATAAACTTCCTCCTTTATCTCGTAGTAATCTTGTATACGAGGTCGCTTGCCCTGGTTGTGGAAAAACCTATATTGGCATGACACAAAGATGCCTTTCTGTACGTTTGAAAGAGCATGCAACTAGGCTCTCTTCTAGTGCAGTGGGCCAACATTTTTCTGAGTGTGAACATGCTCAATTCTTAGCTACTTTACAAGACCATTTCACATTACTCAACGATCTTCCTTCGCCTTCTGACAACTCCTCTCCTATTGAAAACCTTGTTTTCAACAGCTACAGAATACTTCACATTACAAAATCTAACAACTACAACATTCTTGCTTTTCCTGAAGCATTGCTTATCAAACACAACAAACCTTTTCTTAACACTGGACTTAAAGCTAGTAAAGAACTACAACTGTTCACATAACACTTTAACTCAATCTTCTTCTACATGTCGGGTCTTTCCCTTTCTACCTTAATCCTTTTAATATATTAAACATTGTTGTAAATATAGCTAAATATTCCATTTTCAGTTATTACTATTTTCTTTATCATGTTTCGCTTTGCTTGGATAATCCTTCTTTCCGCCCACATGACAGATGCTCTCTCTCTCTCTCTCTGCGTTGTATATATATGTGTTGTAAAGTATTGTATTTCATTCTGTCTGAAGATGACTTTGAAATAAAGTCGAAAATTTACAGTCTCAAACTGCGTCTTGTTTTGAATTATACTGTATATTGAATTCTCAAGATGTCCTGTATTTTCGGAATTTGTTTTTTACTTTTTTTTTTTAAATTGTTGGCTGGTCATGGTTTTTAGGGTTAGGGGTTAGTGGTTAGGGGTTAGGGGTTAGGGGTTAGTGGTTAGGCTTGGGGTTGGGGTTAGGGTTAGTGTTAGGTGCCGCGAATTTATTATTATGATAAATTCAAAATTTGCCGCAAATTTATCATAATGATAAATTCGGACGTGTGTAAGAATTTACTCATATAGTAAATTCAAAGGTGGAGCTCATGCTGAAATATAATTAGGTGCATATAACTGATCCATCGTTAGTAATATTTGTACCACAGTCGAAGAATGTAATGAGTGGACAATTGGCAAAATTGTTGTCTACCAATTACAGTAAGAACCATCCATAAAATGCTTAGCAGTATCAAAATAAGTACAAGTTTCCAGTTGTCACTGGCAAGTAGAGGATAACAATTATTGGTTTAGGATGCAAAGTTGATTACTTGTAATTAACATTCCAAATTGTTCTGTGGGGTAGTGCTGATGCAGCACAAACAAGTGTAATTTGAGCTGGATGGAGGATAAGCACATTCTTCGAGTTATTCAGATTGTTCATCAGAAGCAATTAAGAGTTTTGTTGTTGCTAGTTATACAATAGAATCATGTCACATAATATATAGTTGTACTCCATTTATTAGGGCTTTGTCCATAATAGGCAATACAATAATACACATCTACAGTGAAGCAAAATTGTTGAACTTGAATTTCATCAACTCTTATTTGCAACCACACAGCACCAAATTCAAAAGGGTGGGGTACATGTCCAGTCTTTTTGAAATGATTTTTGCATGATAATAACATAAGTGTTAAAAAATGAAAATTGCTGCAGCACGTCAGATAATGACCATGTGTTACTTCACCACAGAGAATCATTACGGTCAGTGATTTTCATAAACCTAACTCCGTCAATCGATGGGGAATGTCCCTTAGGACCGTTGTCTGAAGTTTTATGGCGTTCGAATCTAGAAAATCACGAAAGGATCTTGAATGATCCCTAAATACAAATATATTTGAAAATGGTATTGGCCAGCTTGGTGTGAAGCCAACAATTGATTTATTTGCTTCGAGATTAAATTATAAAATCAAGCCATTTATATCTTATCAGCCTGACCCAGAAGCTGAAATAATAAACGCGTTCACAGTTTCCTGGCAACCTTATTTATTCTATGCATTTCCTCCCTTTAGTTTAATTACACTGGTTCTCCAGAAAATTCAGGAGGAACACAGTGCGGGGGTAATTGTAGTCCCGCAATGGCCAACACAACCTTGGTGGCCAGTTCTAATGCGAATGATAGTGCAACAGCCCTTAATTTTACCTCGGACAAAACAAACTCTACTTTTACCGACCAACCCAGATTTGCTGCATCCTCTACATCAAAAATTTACCCTACTGATGTGTCACCTCTCTGGGGACCCTTCGAAAATAAAGGCCTTTCACGCCAAGCTTTGTCCTTCATCATGTCATCCTGGAGACAAAGCACGCAACAGCAATACGTCTCGTACATCCGTAAGTGGGAGCAGTACTGAAGTGGCCGGGAAATTGATAACATTTCAGCTACTGTAGAGGATGGTATAAATTTTTTAGCCGAACTATATTCTGATGGATGTGGTTATAGTGCATCGAATACAGCCCGAAGTGCTTTATCGGCGGTGGTGTCTATGCCACAAAATAACACTTTTGGCAGTCATCCTTTAGTTTGCCGTTTCATGAAGGGTGTATTTGAAACAAAACCATCTCGTTCTAGATATACAGAACCTGGGATGTGAACATTGTGACTAATTATTTAGCTGCACTTGGGCCGCCAGACGGACTGACCATGGAGGTACTAACATATAAGGTTGTAATGCTGTTGGCATTATTATCTGGGCAACGACGCCAAACATTGCATGCTTTTGGATATAAACGGTATGCAGCTTGATTCGGACAAGTGTATCTTTACTATCAGAACATTGCTGAAAGACGTCTAGAGTTGGCCATCATTTGCCTCCTATTAAACTACTAGCATTTAAACCTGACCCTGCATTGTGTATTGTAACACATTTAGAAAGATACATCGACCGCGAACAAGAACTTTAAGAGGTAACCAAGCTCAATTATTGATAAGTTTTCAAAAACCATATAAAGCGGTTTCTGCAGACACTGTAAGCAGATGGTTAAAGAAAGTACGTACTTGAACTTGCTGGTACCGACACGAAAAAGTTTGGAGCGCATAGTACTCGTTCAGCCTCGACATCGGCAGTCAAAGCTATGGATATTTCAATTAACACTATCATGGAAAGTGCAGGTTGGACTCAAGAGTCAACATTTGTAAGGTTTTATAACAAACCTATTATAAGTAAGGACAATTTTGGCAACAGCTTACTGCAAAAATGCAGAGACAGTTAATGTTTGCGTTTAATATGCCATGTTATGTTATATAATTATGCCGGTTATGTTAATGTGTTCATGTATAAATAATGAACATGGGAGTTTACCATTCGACTGGATATTTTACTCCCTCCGCACTCGTACTGCTTTAAAATCTCACGTGACTCCGTATAGCGACAATGACCAATGATGAAGCAGAATTGAAAACTTAAACGAGACTAAGGTGAAGTTTGATTTTGGTTCTGCGAATCATTGGTCTGGAGTTATGGGAGTCATGTGCCCACCCAAATGGTTTTTCCCAACCCATATTTGGTACGAGTGCTCCAGGCTTGTTTTAAATACTGATCCATCTGGTTCGCGCGCTCTCTCACATGACTCCTATAGCTCCAGACCAATGATTCGCAGAACCAATTTCAAACTTCATCTTACAGGTAAGTCTCGTTTAATTTTTCAATTATTTGTTAATATGGTCAATGACTATCGTGATCTTGTGTACAGAAGCTTTTTCATGTTTAGTTTTGTTTTAAGTTTCTAAACGATAATCATAATATGATTTTTAAGTATCGCCTAACTATACTTGGTGACTTCGGTTGTTTGTGTCATGTTAGGCAGTTTATGCATGTTAACGTCAAGACGAAGGTTATCAATACAATATGTCTTTAATCCTATAGCACAAAAGAAATGAATAATTAAAAATATAGCTGGAGGTTCAGCTAGACAACGGCAAAATGCATATTTTTACATCTTGTAAAGCATGCTAGCATTTCAAGCCGTGGCAGCCAATTTTTAGCAGAGTTGATCAAAATTGCTCTGAAGGTTAATCTGTTTTAGGCCCTCGTCAAACGTCGAACTTTTCATGCGCCGAACCTAATAGTTGTAGTAAGTTCTACAGCTTGGTTAAGTTCGGCAAAATCGATTAAATGCGGCAGATCTGATTAGGAGCGACTTGTCATGTCGCATTATGCGACGCTGGAGCGACTGTAAGTCAAACGTCGCTCATGCGCCGAACCTAATGCATAAATTATTTTAATTTATTTTTGCCCTGAAATTCAGGCTCGGCATGCGCAAATGCGCTTGTAATATGGCGGCGAAAATGAAAGATCAATAAGAATGTTGTTCATGCTGCAAAGAACAAAATATATTTGTATAAATTGCCGTATCAATGCCTGTATGCAATCTATATTCATTTCCCGGACAAATTGTTTACGTTCTAGTTTGTGCATGTCGTATACGGGAAAGAATGTAATGAAACGTTTTTCTCAAAACGTTTTTTAACACGTTCATCAGAGTATGAATTCCATACTAACAGTCACCAACCAGTGTTTCTTTGCAGCCTTCTGCATCTACGGTATCGAAATGTCAAATTCAGGGATTGTAAAGCCGTAGCCGCGCCATTAAGCGTGCTTGAAGTATCAATCTTTTGCGCCGAAGGGCTAATACCATTCCCGCATCTAAGAATTTTCGACGTCTTTTACGCAGTCGCTTTTTAATATTTTTTCCAACAGTTCTTTCATAACATGATAACGCACGCAACATTTTGAATTGTTTATTTGTTGTTTATTTAAAGTGATTCTTCATGTAAGATAATAGTATGAATTATAGGTATGACGTATTAAGTTCGACGTTTGACTCGACGCCGTTCCATCGTGCACCTAATGTCTTATCCCATACGTGTGTTAAAAGCGGCTTTCTGATTGGTTTAGAGCAGGTGAGCTTGTCGTCGAGCTCACCTGCTTTTTTCCGAACTCACCTGCTTTTCGCCCGAACTCACCCGCTAAACTGCTTACGTTGCAATAACAATATTAAACAAATATGGCGGACAAGATTTAGCCGATAAACCTAAACTTTAAAGAACTTTTTTCGGTGACTAACATGCTGAGACTGAAGAAAAACCAAAGAAAAAATGCAGTAAAGGTAATGTAGACGTAGATAAAGAAGTATTTTCTTGCCCAGTGATTTTTTGGCCGGGAAAATGTTCACAAAACATCGACGAATATATCGGGAAGAGCTACAAATGTGTGTATGGCTCGGTGTATGGGATAAAAACCAAACGTACTTGCAGGTTCGGTGAGTCCGGGATTGGACGCACCTCGGGTGGCTGGAAGTTTCCCGAACTCACCTCGCTTCGCTCGGTAAGTTCGGGAAACTTCCAGCCACCCTCGGTGCGTCCAATCCCGGACTCACCTCCCTGCAAGTACGTTTGTTATAGAATCTAATTGTATATTTGTATTAGGTTCAGCGCATGAAAAGTTCGACGTTCGACAGACCTGGGTCTTACTTGTTCTAAACTGTATTAAATTCATACGAAAGTGAATACAAGATAATATTTCCATACAATTATATATTTCAAACAGTTTGTTTAGCCGTCGTTCTGACGCCGCCGTCTTAAGGTCCAGAAATTTCGATTTTCACTGACCGATAACTTTGATCCTAGTTTAAATTTTCCAAATATTTAGAAGCGCTATAATATTTTAAGTTATTTGGCCGTCTACATATATTTCAAAATTTGCTCTCATTGGTTATTTTATTGACCGTTCAAAAACTAAAAAATCGCGTCGCGTTGTCGAATTGCGTCCTGTGTGTCTGAACCTTAACATGCGTAAACTCCCTGTTATTTATTTTGGGACGCGCTTAAACGCGTGTTTTGCGAGGTGAATATCTCATTTCATATGATTTTTTAAATTATCACAAGCAATTTTAATAGTTACTTGATCGACATAGGTGTTCAAGAAAAACTGCTTTAAAAGAATATGTCAACAATTGTCATGAATATCTAAAATTTCGTTGGGTAATAATTATATTCCACGCGTAAGCTCCTCGGTACGAAAATATTTTTTCATAAAAGATCTATTGGGTTTGTCAAGAAGTAGCTTACGCCTGTTGCTTCGCGTTTGATGATTTGTGTTATCATGGTATGAAAACATGTTGCAGATGTGCTCTTTTTTTGTTTGAGAATATTAGCATACATTCGGTTTTCTTAGTGTTCAATGTTGTTGGCTTCCAACCATTTGTTAGCGTTGAGGACTTGAGTTTCTGTGCATGATAGATTAGTTTCGTCAGCAAACATGGACGTTTCTGTATTCTTGAGGAAACTTGGTATTTGGTAAGTCATTTATATGTTTAACGAAAATAGTAAAGGTCCCAAGTTGGAGCCTTGTGGTTCTCCGCATTGCCGCATTGGACAATTTCTTGCTCTGACTTTATGTTATTAAATTTTTTGTTACTTTTCCTGTTATTTAAGTAGAATGTGAAATTAAATGGTATTTCTTG